CTTTCACAAGTCTGTAAACTAATTACTTGCGGTCAAAAGGTTACAGAAGGACTGGTTGCAAATCTATTATTGATAAGAAATGACAGAAATGTCATGACCCTCCCCACAAGCCACAAATCATTTAACAGAACTGAGCATACACAACATGCTCTGTTGTAATTATCATTCAAGAACAGCTATTAAGTCACAATTTTCCAGTACTTTGCATAAGAATTTACACCAAGGCACTGCAGTATGTGGATCACTTCAAAGATCATCAGTGGGGTGTTGTTCCTCAGTATATACATTTTCAGAGTTAGTGCAAGGGTGGCATTTGCTTGTTGTACAAGTAGTTGTGCAACTGCTTGAGCAGTCTCCATTCCAGGCCTAAGAATAAAAGAATACAAGACCTGCAAGGTCTTGCAAAAATCAGAAATCAGATTTTGAAATCAGAAAAACAGATCTCCAGGATTGCTTATTAACCTCTCTGTTTCCTGTATACACTAATTGTGGCAACCGAGAACTATGTCTAATAGAGAAGCCTTCTCCTTCCCACTTTCTCTTGCTCACAAACGATCCGAAGGGAAACAAGAATGCAAACAGATTGTACACAAGCTTATCAGGGAGGATGAAAGAAAGGAATTAGGGGATGCAACCTACCTATTTGAACATTCACACTGAAAGAGAGGTAGATGGGTCATATTTGTTGAACCAGAAGAAAAAGAATGGTACTCTTTAGGTACTGTGGTGTTGTCCCCAGTTGTTCTGAGCTGGTCCTGATGTTTTTTTTGCTGCAGATTTAAATCGATCATCCCAGTCCTGGCATACATGCATGGGAAGGGCATTTCTTGCAAGGTGCACTGGGATGCACTGGGGTCACCCAGTACCATCAGTCTGCATACATCTGGTATTGCTCCCTGAGGTGTCTCTCCCAGCACAGACTGGCATTCCCTTTTGGCAGATACTTCACTCTCTCTTCACTCCCCTCCCTGTTTTGCCTGCCCACTATACTCAAACTTTCATGTTTTCATAGCAATGCTTCCTAACTTTACCCACTTCCTAACTTTCCCCACTTTTCACTGTTCTGTTATGGTGCAAAAGTGGTAATATTTTTTAAAAAAGTTGAACGCAATAAGAACTGATATCTTCTTTACCCTCTCCCTGAGTACTGCACTCTCTCATTCCTTTCTCCTTCTCAGCCTTTACCTTTTTGCTTAATTTTTTTTCCAGTTTGGTTCCATAGTGCAGAAGTGATAACATTAAAAAAGTTGAATGTAGCAACAGCTGCTATCTCAAGAAAACTAAACAGAATCAACACTAAGACACAAGGAGAGAGATTGACCAGCAAAAAAGTACATACAGTAAGTAAACATCATCAAATGATGTTCACCCACAAGGTGAACAGATCTGCATGCAGCAACACTGCATTGAGGGTACTTTCTGAACCGAAGCAAACTGGAGCAAAACAGAACATAAATACATCACCATTTGGTGGTGGTCTGAAAACCCACTTCCCTCCAGAAAGCGTGTTTTTTTGGGGGGGGGGTTATCTCATTATGGGTGTAACTACAAACTGATCCATTGTGAATTCATCTCTGGGAAGTTGGATTTCCCTGGGTTCATTCACTTCAGCTGACCACAGCAGAGAGAGAGGAGGAAACTGAGACATGTTTGCAGCTTGATAAGATAGTTTTGCTATGGCCATAAAGATTCCAAAGAGCCATGGGTAGAGCAAGCCTGCCTTAACAAGCTGGACACCAGGTTGGTTGATAACTTCCTCTTCTCTCTTCTGATGATCCTGTATTTTCTTTTTTCCTTTCGTTATCTAGCTAGCAGCCTTAGTGCTAGTACAACAAGCTCTTAAAAGGAAAAAAAGGAGGAAAGAATGGAAAAAGAAGAAGAAAACAAGCAGATCCAAGCACCAGATATGAGGAGATTATTCAAACAGCTCACACTGCCTCTTTCTTACTGAGGGAGATGGCTTCAAATAGAACTGCTACAAACCCCTCCCTCTACATCAGTTCAATTGATCACACTGCCTGAATGGATGCAAATGCATTTGACGCCTAAAAAGTAGAAGCCACAGCAGCAGAACAAAAGAGTATGGGTGGGCGGAAGGAAACCCTGGGGCTGATTCGCATTAACCTGTACGTCATGCAGTCAACGGAATATAATGCGAATCATACTGTCCCTATGCATTTCCTGCATTGTCAATGTAGTTCCTCCCTTTGACTCTGTTGTGTAGACACTGGCATACAGTAATGGTATCATGGGTACAAGGAAAGTGGCAGAAATGCTTAGCATGGATGGGCCCTCATTATCCACTTCAGTTTTTCAATGACTTGATCAGCATTTCTCATCGTAACTCATGAATGTTCCATTGCATTTTCTAAAGTTTCAAATCTGGCTTCAATTTGGTTTTCCAAACTTTCTTCTTTGGCACTGAGAACAGCATTCATGTTGCTGGTAACCTCTTTAACGAATCCTGGGCCATAAAGCAACTTCTGCAGACTTCTCTTCAATGCTCTCTCTCCCCCTCCCTCTCTCTCTCCCATCCTTCCCCACAGTGAGATTTAGGAATCTCACTAAAATAAGATATGATTGATTATGTGCTTTCCAAAAGGTAATTTTGTAGCTGGTATTAGCTGGGCAAGAAATGTTTCTTTGGGCTTTCCTTGTCCTCTACATGCCCTTTCCTGGTAACCAATCACCCATTTTCATAGCATTCTTCTTTGGTCACAGGATTTTTTAAGGTCCCATATGCAATCCTGGGCCCTTTGCCATCACCCCAAAGTTAACATTTCATTATAAAGGCAGACAAAGGTATTAACTGAAATATCAGCTTACAAAGATTAATTTCTCCTTATTAAGTATTTTCTGTTCTTGCAATTTATTTCTTGAACATGTCCTTCTCATATGTTTTAATACGTTTTGCAGGAGTCTGGCTATCAGAAGCAATAGAAGTATCTATGCTTTCTCCCTTACACAGACGATCACATCATTATGTGTTTTGTTAAATGTGCTAAAACATTTTTTTTCAGCAAAAGTGATACATGTCTTGATGGTTGCTGTTAGGTTGTAAACCTACAGGAAGCTCATTAATAGATATGTCCAACAGAGTTTAATTCTGCACCGATGCTAGAAAAACTGCTTCTATCAAGCATTTACTTCTAAAACAAGTTTTTAATACTAGAATCTTCAAAGATTAAAAGAGAAAAACTGAAAGGAGCTGGCAATAATGAAGCAACATTTTCAGGAATAAAGTTTTCTATCACATTTCTCTTCAATTAGAATAACTTCAAAGTTGAAGGGACTAGATCTGTTTTAACCCCAGCACCTTCCCGCCACAGCATTTTATTTAAAATGCTAGAATTTATTGGGCACAGAGTAAGAAACATGCACTCTTCATAGACCTTATGAATCACTCCTAGCCAAGGGAGATCTATGTGTTCAGCAGAAGGTACTGCATGCCAGGGATAGCTAAGCAATGGGAAACCAAAAGAGATAAATATACACATGAAATAAAAGTGTTCTAAACATTGTACTGGAGGAGACACTGTCACAAAATAAGTATGTCCTGGGTAAAACAGAAGCAGAATGTGGTCAGGTACCGATCCAAAGTATACTGTACAAACACAATGCCTTGAATCCCAAAAACGGAAGCAGAACACTCTATATTGAAGAATACTACATTAATCCAAAGTGGAATAGATACTAATGAATAGTATAGACACTATTTAATCTGGATACCCAGAGTGGTGTAGCACTGCCCTTTGGCTGTTTCTCCCCCAGCTTTGTGGTCCAGGAGAGCAAATGCTCTGGATAAAGCCAACAAACAGCCACTTCTTCTATTTTCATCTACTGTTTAATTTTTTTAATATATTTTAAATATTTACTTATTGATGCAGTGCTCTTCTAAATAAATGAGATACACTGGCAGTATTATGGGTACCATGCTAGCTAGATGTACTGCTGTTTCACTATGTCACTTATTTTATTTATCAAGGAAAAGGAAAGTCACCACAGTCTGCTGAATGATGGCTACAGGAAAAAGTGATGAAGGGAGTGAGAAGGGGTGTGTAATAAATGAAAAAGAGGACAATTTGGAGAGATCCAAAGACCTGATTAGAACCTTTTCATGGAAGAAAAAAAAAGTCAATCAGTGTGAATGGAAGGATGACTCAAGTGAGAGATAAAATAAATTGCATTAAAGATAAGAACTTTTTAAGTGCAAAACAGACCACTTCAACTTCCCCCAACTGGATGTGTCCTAAATTACATTGTGTTTGTAACATAATGAAGGAAAATTTAACTCCTTTTCATTGTAATTACAACTGTTTAGTTACTTCCTTAGTTAAATTATGTTGTTTCATTTTGTTTTGGCTAATGCTGCTGTAGTGGATGACCCAAAATCTCACAGCAGTTTAACAGTTTTTTCAACAGCTGTCTCAATGTTATAGACACTCTTTCTCTCCGAGGACAAGAACATTTTCAGTTTTTCATTACAAGCTTAATGAACATATCTCCAGTGCTTAGTTCATGTGTTTTCTACCACAAGGAAAACAAACAGAAAAAGTATTCACAACAAAAGAAATTTAGAAAATGTCACATGTGTATATATACAATAAAAGCATTACCATCAGCAAAACACATTTTGAATAGTAAACATGTAATGTACTATAAAAACTATGATATGAAAAACAATGAAATTGTGAAGACAATACTATACTGACAAGAACAGCCTAACAATCAAGAGCAAAGAGACAAGACCCTATTTGATAGCAATGGAGTAGAATGACAAGAGTATAATTTAGCAGCTTTACACATTTTCTTTTAATAATGGGGGTGGCTAAATTAGACTGAGTGGTTACAAATAATCTTGAGGAAATAAAGCCTTTTTCAGAATAGTTCTGTTGTTACAGATTATGGAGGCACTTCAGCCTGTAAAGTATCATTTGCATAAAGAGGATTGCTACACCCACAGTAAAGTCTCTTCTTCAGACTAACAGGCATGTACTTACCCAGTTGCAGGGTTCATGATGCAGCCCCCTTTGTCAGGAGCTGCTTTGCAGTTGCAACCTCTTTCCAGTGTATCATGGTTCATCCCAAAATTATGGCCCAGCTCATGAGCCAGTGTTACTGCTGCTCCCAAAGGGCTGTCTGAGTGATCCTTAGAGAAAGAAACACATAGAAAAGAACATAAAATATACTCTAGTTTTAGAAGTAGTGTTAGTCTGTGCAGGCATATCAGGCAAAATCCAAAGAAACAAAACAAAAGAAAGACAAAACATGTGGCACCTTAAAGACTATTATATTGTAATGTAAGCTTTTGTGGACACATCCACTTTTAAAAATCAATTAAAAACGTGGATGTATAGGCAGGCCTTTCCCCCAGTTAATTCCTGACCCTCTTCCCTTCTCTCTCTCTCTATTTGATTTATTTTTGTATTTTTCCCATCTTGCCGAATAAATTGTTATAATTTTTATATATATATTTGTCATGTTTTTATGTTGTAAGCTGCCTAGAGTGGTCAAAATGACCAGATAGGCAGGGGTATAAATAAAATAATAAAATAATAAAATAAAATTCATAAATTGTTATAATTTTTATATATATATTTGTCATGTTTTTATGTTGTAAGCCGCCTAGAGTGGTCAAAATGACCAGATAGGCGGGGTATAAATAAAAAAAAATAAAAAAAATCATCAACCGCTCTAACCTCAAGCAAATACTAACACACAATGGACCACAAAACAACACCACACAGGAGTACTAAACCCTGCCACAGACCCAGATGCCAACTCTGCCCACACATCTATACTGCAACACAATCATGGGATCTAACAATGGCACACACAGTATCAAAGGCACCTTCACTTGTTCTTCAGCTAATGTGTTTTATGCCATCTTTTGCCAGCAATGCCTCTCTGCACTCTACATAGGACAAATGGGACAATATGTACGAAAACAGGTCAACAGTCATAAATCTGACATTAGAAACAACACAGAAATCTGTCTCCAGCTATTTCAGTCTATCAGGTCACTCTGTGGAGGATTTGAAAGTCACTATTTTAGAATAGAATAATTACAAATTAAGAATAGAGAGGGAAACAGCTGAAATAAAATGTATACACATGATGAGCACCCATAGAAATGGGTTGACTATAAGCCTAGGTTTCTCTGGCCATTACAAAATGTAACACTTCTGCTGTTATTCACTGCCACTGTTCTTTTTTTCAGTTACCAAGCCCATCTCTCATCACAAGGCTGTAAGGTAAAAACCGTCCATATTCCCTACATTAACATACATGCTTCCTCTGCTAACTTCTTTCATTCATTCTTTCCTGTCTTGAGGTTTAACTGCATCTTCAACACAGCCACCCACACCTTCTCTCTCTTCTCTCTCTCCACCCTCCGCATCTCATCTCAGACCTGGTGTCTGTTTTCTGTCTTTTTGAAGAATTTTTACAACAGGACCCTAAAACAAACCTAAACCTAATTACTGCATGTAACCAATGAACACTTAGAATGCGAAAATGATAATCATCTACATTTCATTGCATTTCATTCTGTTTCTTTATGTCTGTCGAAGGGGACGTGTCCACAAAAGCTTACATTAAAATATAATAGTCTTTAAGGTGCCACATGTTTTTGTCTTTCTCTTTGTTTTGTTTCTTTGGGTTTTACCTGATAAATCATGTTGTAAATATGATTTTTAGAAAGACAGCAGTCTAATAGGGTGATTGGAAAATTTGCTTTTTGCATCGACAACATCCAGAATTCCCCAGCCAGCATGGCAAGCCATTTCTGATTTATGACAACTTCCATAAGATATTCTAGGTATAAAGTATACTCGGCAATGCTTCACCAGCCTCTCGTCCTTCTCCCAGCTTCTGAGACCATGCAGCTTGCCCAAGGCCATGTAAATGTTATGGTATGGAACCTCATCAATAGATACTGTATATTGATTCCATGGTCTGGCTTGCATGTTATGTACATCCTGGTGACTATGCAATCAATTGACAAATTGATGGCATAAATAGACCATCACAGATAGAAATGCACTGCTTTTCAAAGTGCAATCACTTATTCAAGTATCACTTCTCAACTCTAGAGAAATCAAGTGATGGAAATGGATGTGTGAACCAAGCCTAAACAATTTACCAAAAAGCTGCAGTGATGCATAAGACAATGGGATTTTAAAGGTAGCAGGCCACTCTGACGTCACTGCCAACTCAGGCCTCTCACACCACTTCACACTTGCTGCCACCAATTATAATGACTATTTAAGAAGGACAAAGGTTTCCTTCAAAACAAAACAGGTCTATTGGTACACGAAATAAAATAGGTAAATCACTGGCATATAATCAAGATGGAAATCACTTTCTTATTTAATCACTTACACAGACTCCCTCACTGACAACTCAGGCTCACAGGCCTCTAACAAGCTCTTTCTCTCACACACACCAGATCTAAATCTCTCTCCCTCCCTTTTCACACCCCTTTTTCATCCAGCTCCTCCCCCTTCAGCACCACCCTCCGTCACCCCATTGGCTGATGATCCACTGTCCAACTGTGACGGACAGGTGAGGTCAGGGCTGCCTGTTACAGGGAGAGTTATAAATACACAAGCATTCCCTGAGCTTGGGGCAGTTACTTTTTGGAGTTAAAATTCCCACAAACTGGCAATAAGCATGGCCAGTGGTCATACAGTTTCAAGGAGTTGTAGTTCAAGAAAAAATAACATATCCTGTGGCTTCTACAGAAAGTATGGTAGAATGGACACATTATCCTTGCTACCAGTGCAATAGTATAACCACTGGGATAAATCATTGGACAAGTCCTGGTTAATCTATGTAGTCAGTATGTGCAATGATAGTATTAGATTTTTGTGGGGGGTTTTCAGCTGAACAAACATATTAAGGCAGAAGCTCATTTCACTGCTTCCATGGTCTGGTTTGCATGTTATGTACATCCTGGTGACTATGCAATCAATTGACAAATTGATGGCATAAATAGACCATCACAGATAGAAATGCACTGCTTTTCAAAGTGCAATCACTTATTCAAGTACCACTTCTCAACTCTAGAGAAATCAAGTGATGGAAATGGATGTGTGAACCAAGCCTAAACAATTTACTAAAAAGCTGCAGTAATGCATAAGACAATGGGATAGTTATACATACGCAAGCATTCCCAGAGCTTGGGGCAGTTACTTTTTGGAGTTAAAATGCCCACAAACTGGCAATAAGTATGGCCAGTGGTCATACAGTTTCAAGGAGTTGTAATTCAAGAAAAAATAACATATCCTGTGGCCTATACAGAAAGTATGGTAGAATGGACACATTATCCTTGCTACCAGTGCAATAGTATAACCACTGGGATAAATCATTGGACAAGTCCTGGTTAATCTATGTAGTCAGTATGTGCAATGATAGTATTAGATTTTTGTGGGGGGTTTTCAGCTGAACAAACATATTAAGGCAGAAGCTCATTTCACTGCCTGGCATCTTGGCTCAAAGAGCAACCTTCTCTAATATTCTCAACATCTATCCATTTCTTTTGCAAAATCAGTCTTCTTTTTTTAAAAAAAGCTTTCTTCCATAAAGGAAAATACAGAAAATGTGTGATATAAATGGGCAGTCTTCTGTTTATCAGTTATGTAAAAGGAATTACTATGTACGTCTGCCTCTTCTAAAAAGCACATATGGATTTATTCATTTAAAATTACTCCTTCCACAATCTTTCAAGCACTTTGATAGATACTGAAAGGAAAAGCTGTCTAAAACCTTAGAAAATAACCTCCCTAATAAGTTATTGCCTTAGATTTGATATTCTTTCCTTAAAGAATCTTAAGCTAATATTATGAATAATTAAACTGTGGTCTGCCTCTTCTAAAAAGCACATATGGATTTATTCATTTAAAATTACTCCTTCCACAATCTTTCAAGCACTTTGATAGATACTGAAAGGAAAAGCTGTCTAAAACCTTAGAAAATAACCTCCCTAATAAGTTATTGCCTTAGATTTGATATTCTTTCCTTAAAGAATCTTAAGCTAATATTATGAATAATTAAACTGTGAAGTACCGTGTTTTCCCCAAAATAAGACAGGGTCTTATATTAATTTTTGCTCCAAAAATGCAGTAGGGCTTATTTTCAGGGGATTTTTTTTTTTCATGGACAACAATCTACATTTACTCAAATATAGTTATATCATCTTCTGGTTGCTGCACAATGCTGTGCAATGGTGGAGGGCAGGGTTTCACTTAATTAGGGCTTCTTTTTGGGGTAGGGCTTATATTACAAGCATCCTGAAAAATCATACTAGGTCTTATTTTCAGGTTAGGTCTTATTTTCAGGGAAACAGGGTAGGAAAAACAGAGGAACATTCAATCAGTTCATAAAACATAACATTCTTTAACTATTTTCAGGGAAACACGGTAGGAAAAACAGAGGAACATTCAATCAATTCATAAAACATAACATTCTTTAAACATTTGAATGATTTTAGTAATCTCAAAATATTTAATCAGGGGTTCCATGGTATTTATTAATTTGAATAGATTAGTTTGCTGAATACATTTTCACCCTCTGTTTCTTAGAACGATGCCGACTTTCCTGGTAGTGGGTGGGATGGAATTCCAGTTTTATCTTTTTGATTCCCTTCTACCTCAAGGCTGTTCACCGCCATATTGTTGCTCTCACTTCTTGTTGCACTTTCTTCATACTTACTGCATGATCCCAGTCGATCATGGATCACGCAGATTTAAATCTAGCTACTAGCTCCAACTGAACATTCCCCCAGCCACGGGGTCTATTCTTACGATTAGCAATTGGATCTTGGCCACAGTGAATAAGATAATATTACAACACCAACGAGATTTGGCTAAATTATATACTCCCTCACAGCAAATGAAACACTGTCATCATTATTATATAAAGGGAAACAGAAGGACTGGTCTCTATGTTGCTGAGTCAATTGTCTTCCTATGCTACACTGTGGGGGCAATTCAGTTGCACTTTGTAATGTAGCCTTGAGAAATATGGACACTAGTGTGGACACTAATTCACACACCCCTGAATTTGATAGAATGAATTACAACATGCACATCTTCATTTGATGAGTTATCCCAGATTACAGAAAATAAACTCTGGCAGGAGGGGCAG